AGGCTTGCAATCTGTTTCATGATGCTCGATGGCCTTGGAAGATGATATGGAAATCTATGGTTCCTACCAAGGTAGCTTGTTTTGGTTGGCTGGTACCACATAGAGCTTGTTTAACCCATGAGAATCTACACAAGAGTGGATTAAGCTCTTCAGCAGATGTTTTCTATGTAAGGAGGAGCTGAAGCAGTGGAGCATATTTTTCTATGTTGCTACTTCGCAGGGCAGATTTGGTCGTTGTTTCTTAATATATTTAAATATGGTGGATACTGCCTCAGAACTCATAACTTTATTCTGCTATTGGGGATCTCTGGATACTGACAAGGGAAGAAAGAAATTTTGGATGACTATCCCTTTATGCATTGCTTGATCGTTTGGCTGGAAAGGAGTAGGAGGTGTTTTGAAGACAAAAAAAAGCATTTGTCCTTGGTCAAGTTCAAATGTATTCCAAACTTGTCCTGTTGGCTGAAAGGAAACATTGTATTCAACTGGGCTGACCTGCTGGACTTATTGAATCTATGAGTCTGTAATGGAAAACAAGTCCAACATTTTGTAATTTTCTATAGTACTACCTTAGTACTGTGCATCAATAAAATCTTACTTTATAAAATAAAAAAGAGCAGAGTGAGAGTGTCATGACTGAAAATGTTAATAAAACTATGGGCAGGCTCACTTATTAAAGGGAAAAAAGTAGATTTTTATGGTAGAGTGCACCTGAGATGCACACACTTCTTTCATACCTAAGGCATTGTTTGAATGTGAATATGACATTTTGTAATGCTGGGACTGCTGGGAACAGTTGCTATGGGACGGAATCCCCACTTACTTTTTCCCTTAGGTTTGTGCAGAAGAAAAAGTTAGCTACAACAGTTAAGGAAAATTGTAGAGCAATGGGTTGACATTAGAAATATAATGGGATAATTGTGGTGAAAACTTTGTCTTGTAAGTGGGGAGGGTGGTGTAATAGTCTTAAAATGATGAAACCTAACCTCCTATGAAGCAAGACTTATATTCCATCGATGCAAACCTCCACAATCTTGCTGACTTTGGAGCATGTGGTACAACTTGCACTATAGTAGTGGGCTTCACAAGCCGAATTTCAAGCCGTGCGCCATTGGCCCTCGGGGTTTCTCAATTTTCAAGCATTACCCCTTTGGCATAAATTTTGGCATGAATAATGAAGATCACATTATGTAATAGAGCACCAAGATGTGTTTTTAGTGGCCTTATTGTTCTCTGCAACTTGGAAAGAGCCTGATGGCATCTTAGAATCTAATATATCTTAGGCAGTGCTTTATGTTTCGTGACACTTCTCCACTTAGTGCCTGAAGTGTTGATTTATTGAGCTAGATCTTATAAAATGTAGGGTATCGAATTAAATGGATATTCTTTTTATTTTATTTTAAATTACGGTGGTTTCCATGCCAATTTGTGTGCACCTCGACTATACCACCGGGTACCTGCTATCTCCTACCTGTACAAATAAGAGGTTATTTTGCCTACCAGATTTAAGCAGATGTGAAGAAATCACCTAGTTTTTTTGTCTCCGCTGGGTTTTGAACCTAAGACCTCATGGTTCTCAACTAGGCCGGTAGAAGAATGGATATTCTACTAGCTCTTCTCTCATGTGACCATGCATCAATCTTCAACTGGGGCATATTTTAATTTTAGAAAACTGCTTCCAACCCATTCAAGCGAAATGACTATTGCTAAAGGATGATGTCTCTAGTAACATCTGACTATGCAAGTTGTGCAGGTATCCTTAGATGTTATGTTGGTTCTTTCTAGTCAATGTCATTTATTTTGTGTTTTCTCTTCTTGCTCCATACTTCTAGTCTCTAGAGGGAGGGAATATTGGGTCCTGTTATGTTTTTCTAAGTTGTAAATTTCGGTCCTTGTCTATATTTTGATCAGGCTTGTTATTTGAAGTTCCTACAAAATGATTACGGTTTAAGTCAGTCTTTTTCTTGGTTCATGTTCAATTTTCTCGTCTGATATGTGTTATATTTTCAGGATGCAGCGCAAGAAGGGTCAGTTTACATCTTCAAAGTCAATATCTGACGAAGCAGGTTCTTCATCTGCAGATTGGAATGAAGGCTCTGGTCAAGAAGAGCAGGAAACATCGTGAGTGTCCAACTTCTGTAGTTCTGTAGTAGTTGCTTTTCCTTTTTCAACATATAATATGTTTCCCGTCCCCACAAATTCCCCCTACCTAGGAGCAAACAGTGGCATTTCCCACATTTGTTCCCTTAGTGACTTGAACACACTGACTTCATGGTTGGAGGTGGAGGGCCTTACCACTAGGCTATACCTCCTTTGTCTGTAGTTTATTCTGTGTTTGGTCATTGAATTTGATGTAAATTTCTCTGGTTCATTTTACATAAGAGGATTGAACTTTAGATAGTGTCAGAGTTCAGAGATTACTGATCACATTATATACAGTTGACATCATTCTAAGATGTTTCTCTTTCCATATCTCAACAGATGCAGACATTGCGGTATTAGTTCGAAATCCACTCCTATGATGCGTCGTGGACCAGCTGGGCCAAGGTCTCTTTGTAATGCATGTGGACTCAAGTGGGCCAATAAGGTTAGTATTGAGTTGAAAATTGTGCCCATTTCTATGGTTTTTATTTGGATATTAGTAGACATAAATGCCCCTTGATGTTCCTTTTTAAAAAATGCCTCTTAATGTTTTGCTCCATGATCAAATATATGGTTCTGCACAAAGAGCATCCATTGATGACTAGGATATCATGTGTGCTTCAATGGTTAAGGGGAAAAAATATTCTGCTTAAGTGTTCAAAAATGCTTTTTTATCTCCTTCAATTGAAACGAAATTATTTTTGCTCAATATTGTCCACATGAGAGCCAACAGAGTCACATCCCCTGATCCATTTTTAAGCTTTCCCCCCCAAAACTTTCACACTAATAGCATGTTCTTATCTATCCCTGCAACACCTGCTTAAGTCAGAGTATATTTCTCAGTAAACAGTAAACACCGTAACCTGTGTACAAACCGTATAGTATAGCAGCAAATGGTTGGCATGATCTCCCGCCTTCTTGCGCATGAGCGCCTAGTGATATAGATTATCTCTCTTTCTCTCAAATCCTCTGCTTTTAGAACTGCTTTTTATATAGCTTTCCTTACGAAGAGATTCACGATTTAAAAGAGGCAAAGTCCATATTCTCTCTTTTAAGTAGCCTGCTGTTAATGTTCTTTTTTTTTCTTTCCAAATTAGTATTGAGTTTTTAACGCTCTTAGAGTTTTTATTTTTTGGAAAACAATCTTTAGTTTCTGACCATGGCTTGTATCAATACCTCAAGGACATTAAGCACCTTGTCTTGCATTTATGTTTCCTAGTAGCTTTGTAAAAAAGAAACAATAACCTTTCTATCTTGTTGTGCATACAGTTTTTCTTTCCGTGTTGGCAATTGAATATGATTCTTTTCCCATTGCAGTATTTTGCTTCTCCTGTCCGTCGTGTGCAGGATAAAAGAAACCTATTGCCTTTTTTGTCATCAAGATCCCATTAAGGCTGTTGTTTTGGATGATTAACTTCATAATTAACATGATACATACTTGGCCAGTTCTACATCATTATCAGCTTTTACTTTCAATGAAATAAATCATTTCTTAGTCAATGTTTGAAAATAGTGCGCCGGTACACTCTAACATAAGATAATAACACAAACCTTAATGTTAACCCTTTAAAAAGATTGAAATAAGTAAGCAAATTCCTTACTATTTGTAAAAAAGAGCTCAAATATGTTTACCTACCTTATCAAATTAAAAAAAAAAAAAGGAGCTCAAATGTGACCTTTACTTTTGTGTTAGAAGGTGTAAATTAAGTTATATTACAACTCAAGCTCCAGGAGATTATTTTCATCTGAGTTAATGAGTGATATTAATTATTATTTTACAGGTATTTTGGAATTATTGCTCTACCATATTCATTTTTGTTTGAACTCCTACTTACAATAGTTGAATAAATGACGTCTATCTGAGCAATGGAATTTTTATCCCAACTCTTGTCTTCTTTTATTCTTCTTTTGTCATTTGAAACGTAAGAACTACTACCTTTTGGATATTTTCTTCAATATAACCCTCTGTCAGCTCGCCATTTGGTCTTCTGGTATTGTTTATCCTGATATGGGATGAATTAGTAGCCACAGCATGTCTTTTTTACATTGATATCTGATAGAGTTGATGAAACACGATTCTTTTTGCTTTTCACATCACATTGCTCTTCACCTTCTTTGTCAAGTTAAAAGAAAATTTTCAATCTCGTCGTTAAACAGTCATTTCCATCATTTGGAATTCGTTAAATGGTTTTGATGAGTGGGAAGGCTGCTTTACTCCCCTTCTATTCATCTCTGCAGGGAATTTTAAGAGATCTTTCTAAAGTTCCAACTCCTGGAGCTCAGGATCAAACTGCGAAATCTGGTGAACAGGTACATTATCTCCACTTCTTTTTAAAATAAATCCTTTCAGTCTATGATAATTGACTTGTAGAACTTATCAAAAAGAAAAGATTGCATGTTTAGTTTATTTACTAAAGCTCAATGTGTGTTGTAAAATTCTCTCCGCTAGAGCAACGGTGAACCTAATGGCTCGGACGCCATGGCTGCTGCTGCTATCATCACTCCAGACGGTGACAACACAATGGTGACTGCTGAACGGTGATGGAGAATCCTTCTTTAAGTGAGATGGATAATTGAGATTCATCTGTTGTACTATCTGCCAAAATTAGATTGTATATAGTAAAATATTGTACTCTTAGGCATCCAACATTGTTTCTCAGAGTTTTAGTGTTTTATCCTGGTGTTCAACTGTAATTTAAATCTGGAATATGTATCACGAATCGAGAAACCTCAGTAAGAAAGATCTGGGCTTACTTTAATCTGCTTTTACTTCAGTTTTGTTTCCTTAAAATTTTAACATAATTTGAACTTCATTGCGTCCTAGTTGGGCAAATCTGCTTCTGACGGACTTTTCGTTCTCCTCTTTGGTTCGACGAGTTGATGATCTACAAAAATCATTCATTAGTGGAGAGAATTATGAGTTATTGATGCCAAAATTACACATTCGTAGGGAAATCAAAATAAAAAATGGAAGTGTAAATATTACTAGTGTTTTCCTCTTCGCAAATATCAGAGTTTTCTTATATAACTACTCTACGGGCGTAAAATATAGTAGATCACATTATTCCAAGTCCACGCAATTCAATTATCGACTCCTTGGTGTATAAACATTGTTTGCTTCAATTTGCTATTTACCAATTTCCCTCCTCTTTTAGAGCTGTTTCTTTATCATCTTTCTATATTTAAAAGATAGTTGAACATTTCTCAAATCCCTAGTTCTGTTTTCTTCTAAAATTTTCTATTTTCTAAATTTTGTCATTGTTTTAGTACGATTTGCTTTGTATTTAATAGAGAAAACAAAAGTGATTGAAAGGCTTCTATTCCATTCAGTTAAACCCCTTGACCTTTCTGTAGTTCAAAAAGAAATAGTAAGACCTAACGACATGCTAGTTATTTTGTTTGGTTATTATTTCTCTTTTGAATTTTTATACTTGAAATACTCTGATTAAAGCATCTGTTGTAAAATAATATTTTATTTGTGACATTCTAATTATATGAACTTTGATTAATATTTTAAAATATGTATTTTTATTATATTGACATGAAAAAAATTACGATTTATAATACTTTTTGTATAATTTTAGAATATTCAAATTTTAATTTTAAAATAATAATTTAATTAATTTCAAAGATTAGTCAAATTGATTCTAAAAAGTTAGAAAAATGCAGATAAATTGGTAAGGAGGGAATACTACATACTCCTAAAATTCTTAAATCAAGATTCTCTTTCATGTCTGTCAAGGAACAGATTCCATTTTAAGTAGTGCTAAGAGTTTTTATTCTTTATTAGCCTTAATTCTTCCCTCTTTGGAAAATAAATGCTGTGGGACAAAAAGTGAACGCAGTGTAACAAATAGTGTAACACGCTAATCAAGGACCTCACGTGACACCATCACACTCCCTTACAAACAATTTTTGTAAAGTCCCTCCCTCCTTAATTCCTATCCATTTTTAGCTATAAAAAAAAAAAAAAAAAAAAAAAAAAAAAAAAAAAAATTACTACGTACTATTTCTCCAGTTGAAGATTCTTCCCTTAATCTGCAATTCTAATCAACTTTTTCTGATAAAAAATTGATTTTCTTCCATTATCAGAATCTCTCTATAGATACATATTTAATTAGGGTTAGGGTTTTTCATATGCAGAAGTAAATAAAAATGGAAGCGGCAAATTCGAGGGCAATAGGGTTTGATGAGGAGTATATGAATGTAGCAATTCGAGTGGATGAATATGGAGGTGGAGGATTTGATGCTGATGATATCAGCGGTGGCTGTGAGAGTAGCGGTACTGAAGAATTGCAACAGGTGTGCTCCTCTATGCCGCCTCTTGCTGCTAGCCCTGTAGTAGATAGCGACGGCAGAGTTTTAGCGGCTATGCCTATGCCCTCGCGGAGGACTAGTGAGCTTACTATTTCTTTCGAAGGCCAACTCTATGTATTCCCTGCTGTTACTCCTGATAAGGTTCATTGTTAATATCATGATCAATTGGTTGTAATTGCATTATGTTTTAAACTTAATTTATAATCGAAGCATGTACAAGTCGATTTGTGTTTGCCTATGTCATTAGCGGTGCCAGCAATTTATACAAGGGATGTTGCAATTGGGATTTGAACCTGTGACTTAAAAGCAATTTTTGAACCCCCTTTGCACTTCACTGGCCTATGTGATGACAATTGAATTCAGGAAATGTTTAATGACTTTTGTGAATATGAACTTTCATAGGTGCAAGCGATACTGCTATTATTAGGAGGGTCTGATATGGCTAGTTATGTACCTAGCTCACATTCTCTTGCATTGCAAACTACGAAGGTGCATTTTTTTTAGTTTAGTTAGAGCTTGTTTTCAATTTAAGTGTGATTCAACCAAAGCGTACTGAGGCTGTCAATGTTTACTAATTTTTGGGTTGTGTTGTAGAGTGTTGATAATGATGCCCCCATCAGGCCAAATATTTCTCGGAGAATCGCATCTCTGATTAGATTCCGTGAGAAGAGAAAAGAGAGATGCTTTGAGAAAAAAGTCCGTTACACTTGTCGGAAAGAAGTTGCACAGAGGTGAGGTGAAGTTTGTGACCTTTTATTTTTTCCTTCACTCCTTTTAGTGATTAATATATTAACAGAATCATTGAGGAGCATTTTTCTTCTTGTCACCTTGATTGGTTTCAGTTAATGTGATAATTCACAAATTCTTTTTAGGGACCACTTTAACTTGTGTTGCCCAAATATTTGAAGTATATTAGTATAAATGAAAATGGAAAATACATGTTTGAAGTAGACTGATCAAAAAGTACTGAGCTGTATAATGGTACAATGAAGTAAATATATTTCTTAAAAAGTGTTTTTTAGCTGCTAAAACCTTTTTAGATACTTGATTGGATTCATTGAAAACTATTTTCATTCATAGATTTCGTAATGAGGTTCATTATGCAAGTATTCTTTTAACTGTTTTAGTTGCTCTGTTTATAGGATGCATCGTAAAAACGGGCAATTTGCCTCTTTAAAAGATGGTGAAAAGACGTATGCTGGCAATATTGATTCTGGTGACAGCATTCCTCATCATGAACCTACGTGAGTATGGATCTTGTTCCTTAATTCTGACAGCTTATACCAGCAGCATCTCTGTCAAGATTCAGTTGCTCTATTATTTGTCTATTTTAGGCTATGCTTTGTGTTCTTGTATTTTGAGGGCCTTGAGACTGATTTCTTCCACATCTGATTTTGGTGTAAGAATGGCTGTTGTTGCACGAAATGAGGGCTTTCATTCAGAAGTAACAAAGCTGTGGCACTCTGATCTAAGATTCTGCCTTCATATTCTGCTTACTTGTCCTGCTGTCTCTTTATGTCACTGCTGATTTAAGATTCTGCATTCATATTCGGCTCACTTTTCCTGCAGTCTCATTATGTCACTGGGTTGGGATTTTGCCTCTTCTTTTTTTCTTCTAATCTGCATTTACTACCCTTTGAACTTACAGACTAAGAAGATGTCAACATTGTGGTATTAGTGAAAGTGAGACACCTGCAATGCGGCGGGGCCCATCAGGCCCTAGAACCCTCTGCAATGCCTGTGGGCTTATGTGGGCGAACAAGGTATTGCACAGTGGATCTGCTTGTTCTTTCTGCCCCTCCCCCCAACCAAAAAAAATAAGATTTCTCAAACTCACACTTCTTATGCTTTCCTCTTTTAATCACAGAGGTTAACTTTGTCTATAGTAATTATCGTTTATATTTAACTCTGCTGACATTCAGTTTATGATCATGAATTACTGATTCAACTCTCTGTCATGCAATTACGTTAATTTCCTGTCTTGACTAAGTTTCTCAAGGAAATAATCAACATCAATGATAACCAGATTCTTGGGTTAAGAGTTGACCTAATGATTTAGACCTTTGGTTGATCTTTACTTGCACTGCCATTTTAGTCTTATGGCAAACACAATAAAGGCTTACTTAGTGTTATTGCTTTGAAAATAATGGATTGGGAACCAAGCATGTCATTTACATGGTTTCTGTTGATTGTCTATTCTTGGATATGTTTGAATTGTGTGTTTTATCTTTCTAGATGTTCAGAATAAATGCATGCTTAAATTTGATGATTCTTTTGTTCATTTATTTATTTTTGAATTGTACTACCCATCTGTTTGCTCTTGTTACTTATTTTGCTATTCACCTTTTTGTTTTTGTCCATCTGAAGGGTATGTTAAGAGATATTACAAAGGGAGGGAGAGGTACACCCTTTGACAAAAGTGAGCCAGTAAGTAAACTGAGAACAAGTAACACTTCCCTCTTACAGGATCAGTTTAATGTACACTGTCAGTGGCAGATTATTTAAGGATTAATGCTCAT